CACCGATTTTATAACAATGTCATTAATATTACATTTTTGGTTTAGTTAAACTTCTCGAGTATGACAAAAGGTTCAGTGCTTATGGTACTGATTTTATATTTTATGATTACAACGAACCGTTCAAATTAGACAAAGAATTACTTCATAACTTTGATCTGGTTATTGTTGATCCACCATTTCTTTCTGAAGAGTGTTTGACCAAATCAATACAAACTGCAAAACTCCTAATGAAGAATTATGTTATACTTTGCACAGGTTTGCACTGTTTGATATTATGGTAATTAAATAAAAATATTTTTTTTGTTATTATAAAATTCCCTTTTTTAGGTGAAATTATGGAAAGCATAGCAATACCATTATTGAATGTTCATAAGTGTTCATTTGAACCTAGACACAAAAACAATCTCGCTAACCAATTTGCTTGTTTCACAAATTTTTCATCTGAACTTGACTAAAAAAATGTTCTCATATATATTGTTATATTAAAAAAATTGTCTTCAATGTGTTTTTTCAATAAATAAAATAAGAAAGCTCTGTTGTAATACAATCATTGGGTAAACAAAAGTTTCATTTAAAAACAATGAAAATGATAAGAACAGTTTGATACAACAATACAGTATAAATTATTGTAACAAACATTTAAGGTAAACTTGCCTTATGTATCTATCTTTTAAAATCTGTTATAATTTTGATGTTCAAAGTTTGTAAATTAACCCTTAACTCCACGCGCTATTTTTTTCTTTCAATAATTAATTACACGTGCGGTGTATTTAATACACCAATGTAATTAACACTAAAAACATTGTGATATTGTATGCAGTCACCTTTATTTATTTAATAATTATTCACTTATAAAAGAACTTGATTTTTGTTTTTATATTTATTTGTAACAATTTGTTTAATAAAAAAGTTAAGTTGATTAAAGGCTTGTTGTACAAAATAAACCAGCGCGTGTGACTAGGTTTAATAAAGGTATAAAACATTTCTTTTTTACTTCCTTAACATAACTATTACAATATACATCATCAGCAAAAGAGATATCGATTGTTACAGTTATTAAGTATATTGATTAAAATAATTAATTCTTGTATTTTTTTAATTTATATCTTATTTATTTTTTGTAATTCAAATGTATACATTACTGTATATACACTAACAACTTTGAACTTTTTAATTAACAATAATAATATCAACAATATTCTACAAAATTGACTTAGTTCTTTATAATTAACAGAAAATATAATTTAAGTTACACATTGAATCACTAACATTTATAATCTAACAAAATAAAATGATAAAGATGTACAATATAAATTAAAATGCAATAATCAGAAAATATAATAATTTTTATAATGGACATTCATTAAACAATTAAACCTTAAATCTAAACATTTTATAATCTTATAATATATAAACTTTTTTAGTCTTTTTTCTTATACTAAACTGGATTTATTTAGTAAAAGACAATTGATATCACTTGACTAAATTAACAATTATTATTATAAAGGACACTGTTACCATTTAATAATAAACATTTTAAATAAAGACATATAATATCAAATTGTACAACAGAAATACAATAGTGTATAATAAACATCAGAAATTTTCACAATATAGGAACATAAATCACCATAAAAAAAATATTTAACGTACTATAAAAGGCTCATTAGTATAACAAATTTATTTTTACTTATTAATACAATATATTTTTTAAAAGCCAAACTAAATTATAAACAAAAAGTAATTGTAACTTCTTAAAAAAAATATAAAATTATACATTTGGACTTTTTGATGAATAAATATTTTGAATAGTTTAAAATACATGTAACATCACGATGGAAAAATATCTCTTTTTCCTGAAAAAGATACTATTGACCTAATGCCTTTCATGGAAGTCTAAAAAAAAAACCAAAAACAAATTTTAGATTTTTTTTTTTCATTTTAACAAATTAGTTATTTGTAAAATATTACCTTTTTCTTAGAAGTGTTAAGGTATTCTTTATACATTTCTGATCTTATATACCTCTGGTAACTGTCACTTTTCATTAAATGGTAAACATGAACCTAACATACAACAACTCGAAATTAGTAGTGAAATATTATGCATTATAGGTAAGCAAATAATTACATTTATTAAGTAATGTGGACTTTTAAAGTATTATATTTATAAACATGCATAGTGATAATTTGTTTACATACAGCAGCAATGTCAAACGACCATCTATCAGGAGTCGACATATTTTTCCTGCTCAATTCTCTTGATTGAGAATCAATGTTCAACGAATCACCACTTAAATACTCAGTCCAAATTTCTTGGGCCGCTTCTGGAACTTGACTTTGTGGTAATTTTTTGAGATTCTGTACAGCTTCCCAAAATCTATTAAGAATACACTATGGCTAAATAGAAGTAAGTAGGTTTTCAGATACTAAATAAAAGTTTAAAAATGATGTCTAACTAAAAAAAAAATTAATTTTTTGTTAAATTAACAATGTTATTACTGCTTTCGTGAGAAATAATACTAATGATTAACAGCAGTTTTAATGTTATTACGCTATTATACTATTTGTAATATTCAAATTATTTTCAAAGCTGCTTAAACTAAATTAGACCAAGCTTATTAGAACATTATAAGATTTGATGACTAATTATTTAATATAATAATATCACTTCAGCTTCATTATGTTTACAACATGTTAATCAAATTGCTTGGCGCAAAAAAGTAGTCAATAGGATTGTTTGAATCAATAGGATAAATAGGCAATAAGTGTAAACTGAAAAGTAATAGGTTATATAATAACATTTTTTATCATTTACTTTAGATTTTCACAGCTAAACTCTTTTTCCAAAAACTGTTTAAAATGCTCTTTACCAGCTGGATCGGCTAGTAGTTCTTTTAAACTGAATGCCCATCTTTTAATTCTACGGACAGTAACTTCTTTTCTAAAAATAAAAATAAAAAAGAGTTACTTATTAAAGCTGTTATATTACATCATATGATTTGACTAACGAGTTTTTGTCTGTATCCCATACTTCAACATTATCCAACAACCATGGGTTGGAAAATTCCGGTGGTGTAAAAAACGCATCATATTCTGCGTATTGCTCAAAATAAGTAATATACCTAGAAGAAAAATTACATATTTAAAAATAGCTATTTTCAAAAGTTTACTATTTTAAATCATATTTTATTTTATTTTTAATGTAAATAATAAACATAAAATACAGCTTAAGCGGTTTGTTTAGGGCCATGGCTACCTTAACAAGTATCTTGAAAGGATAGAAAACAAAAAAGTGATAATGATGTATTCAAGTTTATATGACACTCCTAAAATTATATTAAAGAAGCCATTTTGTAGCCACCCTTTCAGATTTTTTAACTCATAAACTTATCTTATGGGAAAAACAATAACAATAACATGAAGTAATTGGATTTTGATCATTTCTTTAAATGTTGACTTAAGAGAAATCAAACACCATTTTACAGGTGTCCTATATCATGCCATTACTTTATTTACTATAATTAATATATTTTTAGAAAACTGTTTATAATACAATATGCTTACGTATCTGCTATTTTTGATAGCTTTATGTTACGCCGATCAAGTTTCAAACGCATAGCAGTAATATCTTTTTTCAATGATTCCACTGTTGGTTTATTTATATTTGGTTTCAAAGGTACTTGTATCGGCAACATGTTATTAATGTCTCCATTAGGTAATGCAATTAATTCTTTGTATCTTTTTAATTTTCTATAATCCACTTCTGTAGTTATTACAGTACCAGGCTAAAAAGTGATAATTAAAAAACTTGATGAGTAATATTTGTAAAAAACACTATACACAGCTATAAAGGTGCCTGTAGAGGAGGGTCAATTGTCCTCAGCATCATTACTTGATTAAACTGTATTATTTATTTTAGGCAAATTTTGATAAAAATATTATAATATTGAAAATGATTAAGTCATTAGTGTATGTAGCTAATAACTTGTACAAATACCGAAATTAACAATAATACATTGTCTAATAACAAACTTGAAAATGTAATATAACACATTAGTTTTGAAAAATATCATTTTCCTAAGTGAACTTATATAATATACATTATACATGTATGAATAGATGTATTGTTGCCGAGATGCTTACACTAATTCATTGATTGATTCGAAAACAGACACCTTTGCAAATACATACCATTGGTCGATGAACATCCCAGAAAGCTCTCTCTTGACTGTCTAGAATTTTTCTTTCCATCCGATCTCGTTTTTTATCAACTTTGCTCTGAGCTTCAGCTTGCATAAAAACAAATTCCCATTTTTTTGATAATACAGTTTGTAATTTTGCTAAATTTTCTGCTTCATAATCAGCTAACTCTAGACGTGTTTTATTTTGCATGGTTCTTTTGCATAAATACACAGCTAAAATACAATAAAAAAATATTACAATCAATAGTAATAAATTTATTTGTTTTATTTACCATAGTCTGTGTTTTCTGGTTCAAATATATTGGATGGCCAATAATACGGTGTCTACAAAAAATAATGTAGTGTATAATTTATTTAATATATAGGCAGTATATTATATCAAACATAAAATGTATATTAAATTTACTTGAAATCGGTAATACGATCCATCGTTTTTAACATTTAACAAATGATCATCAATTGGAAATAAATAACCATGCGAGGCTAATAAGTTGGCTAGGTACAGTGCTTCTACTGCAATAAAAAATAATACCATTTAATATCATATAAAATAAATAATATTTTATTATAATCAATTTCATTTCAAAGTGATATTCTTAATCAAATTCTAAACTTAGTTCATAATTATATGAAATAGGTTTTAATTTTTTAGCAAAAAGTTGTTGACATAGTTTTATACCCTAAAGATAATTTAATAAAGTTGTACTTAAAACAAAAGTTTTTGCATTTTTTGGTAGACCATTGTCTGAAATATTTATAAAAGTGAGACCGACAAGCGACCTAATAAGAATATTATAAAATGTGGACATAGTAACTAATATACATCATTACCTTGAGTATCGACATCTAAATTTGCCATTATCCATTGTACTAAATCACAGCCTAAAGAGAATAACAGTTAATCATAATTATCAAGGACTTTCAATAGAGAAGCAGTTACCAGTAAACACCGAAGGTACTTTTGCTCGAAATTTGTTGATGGTACGCACGAGAATCCCTGAATTTTCATCTTGCATGCGATCCATCAACTGTTCCATCTAATAAAATAAAATATAAATTTACATAAATTGTTGTTAGATTCCACTAAAAGCCCCCCCTCTAGAGGTAATTGGGTGTAGTACTTTTTTGTAAACGAGATGATGTTGTGATATACTATCTAAATCCGTCACAGAAGCGGCCGTGAGTGACACGGTCGGTGGATCCAATTTGCCATCGGCTTTTGGTTTCTTGCGCCTGGTAGTCCGCTCGGAGCCTACGACCAAGCTGTCGGTTTGAATTAATTAAACAGTTCAATTAAACATTTTCATGTACAATAGGTGAACAATCACTGAACTCTGATCACCGATCGAGTCCAGCGACAGTAACAATAATATTTATGACATAACATGCAGTTACATTCCGAGTAGTTGGGGGGGAGGTCTGCAAAAAAATGATAGGGGAGGACATCTGGAAACGTACCTTTGTCCCATGGCTTTAAATATGTAGGAACATAGTATCCCTAGTGGTTTTAGTATTCCAACTAACATCTATGAAGTGCTGCGAGTTGAGCGATGTGTTCATAGGGGCGAATAGCCTGCGTGTGTCAAAGTGGGCACGTTATAAGCGTTGTGCAGCGACCGTCAGGAGCGGACACCAGCAAACGACAACACGAACAAAATATAACAATAATAATATATCAAAATATATAATATAAACTAACACAGCCTCGCCGCTGCCAGGATACCCTAGGGTCAGCGGACAGGCAGCAGGCTAATTTTAAATCAATATACACAGCGCCGACGTGCAACGGGCAGCACCGACCGCCGACGACAGGGCGTGTGCCGCGCGCGCCTCGATTACAGTGACTACACCGTGTGGACACGACGAACACGCGCCGTTAGATAGCCCAAGTTTGAAGTTTTCACAATCAGAACCATAACATACCCTCCCGGCTAAGCTCACCACCGCATAGACCTTAAGTTTATTATTATTATCGTTTACCACGTCTTAGACCCCACCGTCAATCTATTCACTATATTATGCTGCGGTTTGGGCGCCATCGACCATCCTAGTGGGGGTATACTATTGGCACCCCCGCAAAAGGGCATCCATAGTGTTATCGGTGACTCAAACCTCTACTGTTCAGTCATAGTATGGTACGTTTGATCGATTCAGCTCAAAATTGAATTTATCTCCGAATTGGTACCTACTAAGCAGCTGTGTTTGCCAACGTTGAATGATGGGGATTGCATACTGTCTATTTTTAATGATGCAATATTTAAGAAAAAAAAGAGATGTTCGACCATGTCGATTAATTTACCGGTTAATTTGTACAAGCTTCAATTATTATTATATTTAAATTATTTTTAATTAAAATCATTTCTTCTATGAGTAAAAGCCATTTTTGTTTATTTTAAACCAAAATACAGACTACATAAGATGGTCTAATTTCAATTCTGTAAAGAGATTCGAGTTTTGTTTTGCTATTTTACTACGTTATGCAGGGAGCCGATTTTTATTTAAAAATTACAGTTTCTTGTAATTAAATAAATTCAATTTTTTCAGTAGTATAACCCAAATTTTTTTTTTACATAAAAAATCTATTTCCTACATAACCTAGTCAAGTTGCCAAAGAACTCGTATATCTTTACAGAACTGAAATCGGACCCTAACTGAGTAATCGAAATGTTGTTTGTTTTTTTGGTCTGAAACGTAAAAAAAACAGATCACATGCAATCCCCTTATCCGGGTTACAACTAATTTTAGCTTCTTTCTTCGATACAAAGCCGAGATAGGTTTGACATGATAATGTTTTTTGTTAATCGCTCGAATTGTTCACACGTTTATTGGATTTGTTTACTAATTGACTCACGTTCACATATTTTAGCATCACGGTAAACCTACTTGTTGTTTTAATTATACCTGTTATTTTGAGCGTATGTCGTGTGCACCGGAAGGGGGAACGTTTGAATTTTACAATTATTAGTATGGTTCAACAACATTCGACATTTATTTAAAGTAGACTAAGCCAACCGAACCGTTTGCAATACACGTAGGGTAAATAATAATTACAATACAAGCACTTGGCACATCCTAACCGGACACGATACTGAACATTGTACAACGGGCACTCTACCACTCTACTTGGATTTTAAAAAAAAAATGAAGTTGTTATTCAGCTACGACCGTATGACTTGTGGGTGCGACGAATGCTAAAATTGCTATCGTATAATTAAGGTCTGAGACCTTATTTAATTCAATAGGCTTTTATTATTACTATTTATTAGGATCTTAGTCAGACAGTATGATTCATAAACATTAAACCGCCAACGGCATCACTGATGTCAACCAGTAGAAGGGTCAAGATAAACTGGACGGTGCATTATAGTGCTTACTAAATTATATTAACGCCAGCTAACAGTGTAGGTATTCATTGCCCGTGGGGACGTATGACGTTTTTCTACAATAAATTAGAATTGTATAATAATATTTCGAATCCAAAAACAAGTAAAATCGTAGATAAATACGTTATTACTTCTCTTTTTAAGAATATACATTTAACTATGTATTATATAGAACATATCCGTGGAATAGTGCAAAGGTGTTTTGGGCACTTAATAAACGCAGAAACAAAGCAGAGGACCATCGAGTGGAGATAATACCACAGAATAGATAAAAGCAGAAGAATCAGTTTCGATGTAAACAAAAAAGTGACGACCATTATGTAAAGACCTATTTAGTATTAATTGTTACATCTTTACACAACTAAAAATAATAATGTATAGATGTAACATTAATATTTCATAGACCTATAAATCTTTCATTATAGGTCTATGGTAACATTATAGTAGTGTAGCCTTAAGAAGATGGCCGCCGCCTTTTTGTGTGATAACTATCGTTTAGTCGGGGAACAAAAGATTGAGATACATTGTGTTGCCTAACTGAATTGACTAACGGCGTATTGTTTTTGTGTGTTTCATCATGTCCGCCAGAAATTATATTTTATGTATAAATAGTTTAACATGTTTGTTCAACGTGTAAAAGACCAAACTAATTTGGACGATTGCCTACCAATGGACTAATTGCTAAAATATAGTATTAAGTATATAGGGCTAAAATAACAACAACATGAATTAGCTTGAGTGAAGAAGGTGGTCAAGGGTGGTACTCCTTGACTCGAAGACTAGTTTTTAATTAGTCGTAATATTATTGTTTTATAAATACATTTGATTTTTACTCGTGTTTCAAATAGTAAAAAACTTATTACAACTAATTATGTTGTATAATGATTATGGAATAACCTACAAGTACACGGTAGATTATTACGACATTTAGATCAATACACATTATAGTGTCAAATGTCAATACACGTGCAATATAGTTTGTATCACTAGTTACATCTCTTTGATTACTCGCAGCAGCTCCTAAAGTACATATAATTTATTGTATTTATTTTTGTAATTGCTATTTAATTAGCTTCGATGTAGAGCTTAGAAGTAATTGTAAGTGTTAATATTTATTTTTTTTAATATCTAAACCAACCATATTATATTTTATACCGCTTAGCTATTTTTCTCATGTAGCAATTCGAATGATCAATAAATAGAAATAAATAATAGAATTCGTACCTGAGAGTTACATTATTGGGCCAAAAATTTAAAATGTTCAACCCAACTTTAAAATCGAGTAAAACACCCAAAAAAAGTTTACTTATTTTAGTTTCGATATTTTAACTTAAATGACGGCACGCTATAACATTTTTTTTAAATTGTCGAATTAGTTCCAAATTTGTATAGAATATTCATTAGAAATAGAGTAATCAAAAAAAATTGACAAACCAAAGAAATATCAAAAACTCTTTCTTCCCAGAAGGGTTAGAAACTTTTTTTTTACTTGTTTTTGTCGAGCGAAGTTCTAGGACTAGATCTCTGAAAATTAGACTAACGGTAGATTTAACAAATATAATTTTCTCAAAAATCTGTTATTAAAATGTCTTATTTATTTAAGAAAAATAAAAAAAGGGAGGAGATCACACGTTGGCTGTAATCAACTTCTTGGTTATGTCTATGTGAGAATGAATCAACAGTCAACATGTATCTGCAAAATAGTTTACTTTATTATAACAGTACTAAAATACATTTCAGTAAAACCAACAAAATTGACAAATCAATTTAATTGTCACATGGTATAAGTACTTATATATCAGCGTTGAATCAATTGATGTGGTAATTAGATGCTATTCGCAAATATCTTAAATAATAATAACACAATCTAAACACCGTGTGCATTGCTGACAAATTGTATATCGAGTGACACTTGAACATTGTGAATACCTACCTACCTAGCTGTATTGTATTCGTTTAACATTTGTAATTAATAGTTAATTATTAACAAGTTTTTAACTTTTTTTTTCTAAATCGTAATGCTTTTTAAAGTGAGTTCAAACATCAACGTGATGAACGAAACTAGATATCCGCCGAATAGAAATAAAAAAGCGAACCACAAATCGTACAGTGAATACGCTTTTAAGGTTTTCTGTGTGCTTTGACCCAACGGCTTATAATACTGTTCTTCTAGTTTTCGTATGTCCAATTTCCACTTATCGTTGAGTCCTGCTTCGTGGAGACGTTTCAAGACGTCATTAAGTTCGTCTAAGAATGGAAAATCTAAAGCGACGGCGTAAGTCAGATAGTATTTGAGTGGGCATTCCTAAAAATTAAACATATTTCTATATTAACGAATTGTGTTATTGACCTTGACGGTAATATGTATATATATATTACCTTCAAAAACCAGTATAATATACTGTATAAACTATAATGTATATTATACAATATAATAGTTAATATAATACACAGAGAGATCAATTTAACGCAATACACTCTAGTCTCTAAACTATTATTATGGAAAAAAACATAAAAGTTGGTTTACCTTAAAAAAGCTTGTAATCAGCGATTTTGTTAATTTATTCATATTGAACAAAAATTATTTTATATAATTGTCGTACCTACATTAAACATTGACCTGTATAAAATATGCGTGTTACTGAATTTTTAAGCATAAACATGTGAATTTTACATTTTCAAATTGTGTGCAAAATAACTTGCGTTTGTACACTTTACATCGACTCTAGCACATAAATCACTAAATTATGGACCGACTACAAACACAAACATTTTATGGTATACTCTGAAGATCTCAGTCTGCATGACATCATTTCATAATTCATATACGAGTATGCCTACCTGAACCACGTGTAACTCGATGCTGTTGTTCATGAATTCGGTGACGTAGTTTGTGAAAACTTTGAACCTGAAGCTCATCACGCGCACAGCGAACGAAAACTGATGTGTCAGATAGTCGCTTCTGTCTTTGATGGTTTCGATTTTGTCGGCCAGCGATTTGGTCAACTCGTACGTGGCCAATGATTCCTTGACGCGCGTGATCGACGTGCGTATTTCTATACCGCTTTGGTCGAGCTCCTGTAGGGTGTTGATGTTGTCCCGGACAGGCGCTACGCTGAGTTTAGTCACCATGGACGCCTGGAACAGGCTGACGACAACGAAAAAAGCCGCCGAGCACGTGACGAACAGCAAGCGACCCGTAATGTGTTTGGGCAAATGAGGCGTGCTCATTCCCAACAACACCTGGAAAATCATATTTTCCAAAGGAAAGTAGGTCGTGACCACGGCTTAAATTTACTAGGTTATTGCATCTGGGGGTTACCCCCCTCTATCGAAATTTTCCATGATAAAAATAAAACGCATTTTATAAACATACTATGTATATATTTATCAAAAAAACAATGATGTAGCCTTATGCTGCCATTTAGTGAATTGATAATATAATAAAGTGGGGATACGCAATAACCTAGTATATTTAATCCATGGTCGTGATTTTGTGTATAGATATCTAACTAACCTGAAGAGTGGTCATGGACGGAACGGGTATCTTACGTTCGGTGGACAAACTGCACTTGTTCCAAAATCGAAAAGACACGGTGACGGTCACGTAACAAATAAGCAAGCACACCCAAACTTCGACCGTGAACGTTTTCCAGATCATTTGCATTCTGGACGCGGGTTTGGCGCGGGGCACAACGAAACAGATAAAGTCCAGCCCGGTGATGAACGAGTATCTGTAAGGTTTGTGTTCCACCGGATCGTCTAGGAACCGGCTGTTGATCGCTATATCCGCGCGACCTTTAGCCACTTCACCAATAGATCCCGTGTACGTGCCGTTGAATGTGCTAAATCATAGCGATAACACTTATTAGATTTCTGGTAAGGTCAAGTGTGAAGTTCTTTGCTTTATGATGCTTTTTGTTGCTTGTCTTACATTTTAATAAAGCTCACCTCTTACGCAATCAAAAATGAATGTAAAATATTTTTAAATAGACCTAGAGCAATAAGGACGGAGTGCAGCAGAAAAGTTGGAATAACTAAAATAGATTATGTCTAAACGTTTTAAAATCATTGCAAATATTTCAATGAAAACTGAACAGAGGATGAGTGTAATGGAGATGAGAATGCTAAGATGGACGAGTGGAGTGACTAGAGCGGATATAATAAAAAATGAATACATAAGGAAGAGTTTAGGAGTTGCATACATTTTGGAGAAAATAAGAGAGAATAGGTTGGAGATGGTTCTGTCATGTTATCAGGAGATAAGACAGTGAGAGTTGTTATGTTTGAATGTAGAGGGAAATAGAGGAAGTGGAAGACCGGAGAAAAGATGGATAGACGGAATAGAGAATGGTACGAGGATAGCTGAAATGATTGAACGAGATGTAGAAGATCGAGCTCTATGTAGGTGTAGAACTAGGGTGGCTGACCCCATATAGTTGGGAGTGTAAGGCGAAGATGAAGATAAAGAAGGTTAAGACGATAGGGGCAGCCTTGAGGCCTGATTATTTATATAATACTGTAACACTTATATTTTATCAGGAATCGGCACGAACTTCACTTAGAAACTATTTCGTTTAGTTAGGTACCGGCCAAATCCAGCACGATCTGGCGGCTCGTAGGTGTTGAGAGTAAAATTCATTTTCCGCACAAACATTTGTAATGACTCCCAATCCGGTCCGTACCAGGTACCGTTAAAGAACAAAAGAGTCGGCATTCGGTTGAACATGACCACGTTTAAGGGGTAGCCCTTGGCGTTGTGCATGCCGTAGTTGAGTTTTTGAGATATCCGGTATTTGTGAAACGATTTATCCAATATTTTCAACACTTGTAGCTCGTTCTTGTGTAGCAGAGAAATTTTGTAAACTTTAAACGTCTCCCATAGTTTTTTCACGTACGTCCATATAAACCGCATTCTCACTTTGCGCTCGCTCACTATCAGATATGTTTTTGTAGTGTGCCAAAATCGTCGATCAAGCTCGGTGTGGTTAGTGAAAAAATGTTCGTTTTTAATATAGATAATATAATAGTTACTCTTAGAAAAATCCCCATCCAACGTGTTGTGCACATAAAAAGTGGTATGGAACGCTCTGAAACATTTATTAGTTAGTAATCATATTTTTTTTTTACACGTGGTATAGAGTTTGTTTAAATAATCATATAAATGTATAACTACAGCATAATCAACAAAAACCTCTTAACAAAGTTACACCCATTACAATCACGCGATCTTAAGATAATAATTAGCTTTTTTTATCTTTGTAAACAACAATTTAATTTGTTAATTTGATCAGTTATAAATAAAGACTAATAACTTTGTAACCCTGCCATATAACGACTTAATTTACTATCCGTTATTACACAATTAATCTTTCAGGCACACGCTATAGTGGTAGATGATATTGTCACATATTATAGGAATATGTAATTTAATATATTATGTGTAATATGAGTACACGATTATTGTTAATTACCCGAGTAAGGCCTTGTAAAACGAGGTTACATGTTCATCTTCCAATAAGATCACATGTACTCCGGTCCAGTGGTCACAGTAATGCCGAGCAACCTTTTTTAATACATTTTCATCCACGTTGCTGATGGTGTCGTTCTTGATGCTGGTAGTTTTATTAACAATTACACTTGTGTTAATCGAAATCAATTGATAAAAACAAAATACGAATAGCGAAGCTAGTAAATACATTTCTAAAGGTTTAACTACACTAAACTTACATGTGAGAGGGTTAAATATGGGAATTAATAACGAAGCCATCGTCATTTTGAAGTGTAAACAGTAAACCTAAAAAGTTGTCACACGTCGTTTGTCATTACAGTAATGTCTATCATAAACTCGTTGAATAATTAAGTGGATTCGATTGAAGACAAATTTTAAGGAAAATAATATTGTTATGTCTCTTTGTTTTACCATTTGGCAAGTGCTATTGTGGACATCTTTAAATCTTCAATACAAACTTAAAGTTGCGAATTTGTCTATCGCTATTATATTTTTTGAAGTAGGTATTATGGTTGAATATTTTGATGGACAACCTATCGTCAATTGTTCATAATGTTTGTATTATTTTCTTAAACATTTGGTGTAAGCCCGATTTTTTACAAACATGAATATTATATTATTATCAATTGTAAATATGGCTGTAATACAGTAATCTACAATATTGTACATATTGACTGAGTTAACGTCATAGTGTCATTATAAGTTACATGGGCTTATTAACACAGTTTATGATGTTAGTGTATTTATAGGTCCATGTTAAGAGGACTTTACACGTCGATTTGTATAATATGTAAAACTAGCTATTTCTTCAACAACTGACCTATTTTGTTTGTAGTTGGCGTAAAGTTTTGAAATTTTGGAAATTAATAGAAAACAATACTATGTACACCATAATAATACGTAGTTGCTATCTTTAATAGGACCATTTTTATTAATTGTTTAAATGCATTTTTCTCTGTTTTTAGTAACCTCAATAAGAACGCATTCAATTCAATTATCCAAAATAACCGACAATTTACGTTGTATAATACTGTTTTTTTAAGTGCAGCTAAAATTGTAAGACCACTACAGGTAAAATAAGACAATTAAATAGCTAACGAAGATAATAAAAAAAAATTGTTAGAAACAAACGCTATAAAAGTCGAATTAAAAAAAAATTGTTCACAAAGAGTCGTCGTTACTGTATTAATAAAAGTACATTCAAATTTTACTATTAAATGAAAATTTCAACAGAATTTGCCTATACCGAACGCCTTAAAAACTACAGTAGAAAAATTGGCAGGTTCTTTTACGCTAGGTTGCCAGCCCGTTCAATTTAAGATCACTATAAGGTTCATCGTTTAGACAGGAAGTAGGAACTGTCCAGAAAGTGAAAAAAATCTCCTTCTCCGAGCCTCAAACTGGTTTAGACAATGAACCGGCTTGACAGCAGCTATGTATAGAATAATATAGTCTCAACACGTCAATTATATAAAAATCGGAAATCCCATCTGGGACGATCTGGGAATAAACGTGGAAATTAACTGCACTAACATAGCAATTAAATTAAAAAAATTCAAAATATATGTTTACCTATGGGCGTAACACAGTGATTATCAGAATACATAAGAATATTTTGATGATCGTAACCACTATTCAAGTATACTAACAATTGTACTCACTCTTTACTATAAATGTACAAATGTATAAATGATTAGTAGGTAAAAAAATACCATAACAGGATGTAGACCATGAAAACAAAATTAATAATTCATAATGTTTTAACTATTTCGGCTAGTATTAAAATAAGCTATAATTTTCGTGTAAGAATTTTAAATTTGTTTTGTTTTTATACATAGTACATTTCAGACGGCCTTCATATTACATTTAGTTATTAAATTAAAACTAAAATGATTGGTATTTTTATGGAATGCCCTAGGGGCAAGTTGGACAAGCTAGATTCAAGTTCAAATATAATTAAATAAATGTATTTTACAATTTCATCAGATTATTAATAAAGTATAAATATATATAATATGAGGATCGATAGGAGGCTATGGTATTATAGGACACAAAAAGTGTAACTGTACTATATAAGCTATTTGTAACTTGATGTTACATTTTAAAATACAATTATTTAATTATATATTTGAACATAACCTTTTAAATTATTTAAAATACAAATTTTTATAAAAACTAAGTTTTTTCCGTTAGTTTATAATACACAGATTTTTGTTTTATTTAAAATAAGTCCATATGGACTTCTCATTATTACATTACCAAATGTATGTAACATGTATAACCTTGTAAAGTTTCCTATAGATAAATCCAAATAATCGGTAATAATTATTACCAATAATACTAATACTAATGACAAAGTAAATGTATAAATAAATAAATGTACAAAATAAAAATCTCGACACTCCCCAGTAAGCAGGGACTAACTATAAAGGATTTAATGACATCTTTGATTTGTAAGTGGTGTTGGATATGTACAATCATGAATAATGACATTCAGAATATCTATTATACAATACACAATATACTGTATCAATATTGTGTTCGGCGAACATGTTTGAATTCCCGTTAATATAAGTTTTGTTGGTGGGTAATAACATAATCTTGCGTCACTATCTAATTAAGTTCTATTCGCCACCGACACTCGCAACTTAATTTCAAAATTCATTCTAACATAATATATCAGCAAACAGCATATTATGATGTAAGTAGTAATTAATATGGCACACACTAGTGTCATAGTAACCGCAGAATTATATATAACAAACAAATGTAGATGTTTCATATTCTATATCAAGTTAAACTTTTATGTTTGATAGTCACTTGAGTTCTTCAGAGTACAATACGTGATACCAAGCCAAGTGTCTTTGTGCTCGGTATCGACGATTATTATAGAATTCACTCTTGTTGTCCGTGTCAAAATTTGAATTTCTACCTACTTACATATAGTTGGAATACTCGACAATTTTGCAATATGATCGGGCTCTGAAAAACTATCTATTGCGAATTTACTGACTAAAAAAATGATCTACTTAGTAATAGCATTAAAAATCCATACTATTTGTAGCTAGAATAAACTGTACAAATACACGGGTAATAAAGAAAGCTTATGATTTGAGTAGATGTACGCTATTTAACCTTGACGGTGTAGCGTTAGAATATTATATTATTTTAAAACCCTTCACCGTTCACAACACACAAAAAACATGAATACATAATGGAACAACAACAAATTAACAGTGGATTTTATAATATAAAAACTTCTTTTAACTAAAAATGTATTCAGTATTACTAATTTTTAGTTAAACCACTATTAAATCTCATTGGCTGTATAATATTAAATGTATATTTTAATTAATTGTTTTTCCTATGTTTGCGTAAAGTTAGCACGATGGTATTATTCACTTGGGTAGTATAATTTCGGATAATTATGTACATATATATGATATATCCTATTGACAACCTTGTTTAACACCTGCACATGTGCCTACAATATGCTAAAATCCAGGACACTCAACGTTCTTTTATTTGCAAAAAATACTATTTTTATTAGATAAAACTGGTTTAATACATCAGTTTTATTACAATAATTATTTATGCGGAAAACAAATATAAACTTCTAGATGGATGGTATAAATTATATTGTTTATGTGCGTACATTGAAATTACGGAGTTGTTGACTTAACAATTTTAATTACTTTTTGAAAAAAAACTGTTAAGTTTTATGTAAAAAATATTTTTTCCGTGTAAAAGTTTTGAAAATTATTTTTTTTATGGTTGTGATAACCCTTAGACTTTTAAATGTCTTGGGTGGAAAGAGGTACATATAAGGTAGATAGTAATTTTATTTTTTTCTCGCTTACAATTCAAACATACTTCCCTCGTCGACATTAATATTAAATAATCGGTTATCAAAACGTATCGATCAATCATTGTTTGTATTATATCAATATTATCATTATCATTTAAATAAGTAAATATTAAGGTTATTTTTTGACGTATTTTTCAACTAGGGTTTAAAAAATAGTAGAATTTGTCCCAAATTTGTATGTAATATTTGTTTAGGTATGATGCTACTATATACCAAACAAATATCGAAAATTCTATTCCCCCAAAGTTGTGTAAACTTTTTCTTTATTTCTTTTTTTCGAGTGTAGTTTTAGGACTTATGGTCTAAGTCACTAAGTCAAGACTCTCAGTCATAATAATACCTCAAGGAAGACCTGTGACCACCCCGTTTGGCAATCCTACTAAGCTTGCTAGTTGCTTTTGATTTTGTAATTTTGCAGGAACGACTGTTAAAAATTGAATTATGCTATATCATTCAATGTATTTTATGTAATCGTTGACTATCAATATTTGTACACAATATAAGTAGAAGGTTATTATTAGGTATCTATTGCTAA